CGATGATGGACGGATGACGATGGAGGGCTACGGGATTTTGAGCGAGAGGAGAGGATGATGAGGGGCAACGATCGATTGAGAGAAAAGAGAGAGAGATTGAAGTTGCGTGGGATTTTCTTCTCTTTCATACGCGATCGAGAGCGACGAGAGAGAGATGAGAGTCATGAGATTTGTGTTGCGGCGTAAAATATGTTCAGAGAAGGAGATGGATACACAAGTTGTATATATATACCCAAATAAAATTAGGTTTGACTTCTCTTTAATCACAAGAAAATTCCACACGCACACACATCACGCGAAAAAAATAAAGAGGGAGGAAAATCTGTCGGGCCGGGCCCAACTCGGGTCGCGGGCTATTGTGGGCCGGGGCACCGATTCAATACATACAGTTCTCTCGGGCTCAAACTCTCAATTTATTTTGCCAAAATAAAATGACTCGATTCGCGCGAATATTCTCGGGCTCGATATAAACTCAAACGCACGTTAAAATAAACCGAATAATAAATATATTTTACATATATATTAGTACGCATTTAATAATTAATCACAAAATATTAGACATTTAGACAATTTATCATTTAATCACATTTAGGCAATTAATATTAGGCACTCAATATTAATATTAATAACATCACAATAATAATAAACATCAATGATAATAATAATAATAATAATAATAATAATAATAATAATAATAATAATAATAATAATCATAATAATAGTAATAATAATAATAATAATAACAATACTTCAAATAAACCACAAATAAATGGGGCATTACGAAACCGCTCATTCAAGCAAGAAAATTCATTCATTTCCCCCAATTCATTAATCCCACCATGCTTTCGACTTTTGCATTTCGATTTCACCTCAATTTCATTTTACTTTTGTTTTTTGTTCACCTTTTAAGTCAAATGAGTTTCTTATTTTTAATGCTTCTGATCTTCTTGGGAAATTCCGTAGTTGTAACCAGTCAAGAGGCAAAAAGACATCGATCTCAATTCATCAAGCTCTTTCATTACATTGTATGTATGAGTTTTCTCTCTCTCTCTCTCTCTCTCTCTCTCTCTCTCTCTCTCTCTTTCTTGTATGTGCGTGTAGTTTCAAATTAAGCTTTAATCAATCAATTCTTTCTTCATTTTAATCTCTACGTCGACTGCCATCGCAGGGATATTACTGCATTGATACGTTTGACACACAAAAAAGTTATATGGACATTAGATGTTTGTATTCAGTGATTAGTGCGGAAATTCATTTTAAATGAAAAATATGAATGTGTTTTGTTTTTGAACTAAATTCCTTTCGATCTATATTTACATTAGAAAGATCTGACTTTGCACGAGATTTTTAAATTTGTGACCAGTATTCTGCTTAGGAGCATGATTTTGTATAAGCCCCTGTCATAGAACTACATGTCTAGGCTATTAGTTGACTAGTAATTCTTTTACAAGCATTAGATAATGAATTCTTAAGATGAGAATATCCTGGTCATGTCTCAAATGGAAAATCCTATAGAAATGAATGAAGCATTAACTAAAACAACGAGTAGGATGGAAAATATATGGTACGCCACAGGGTCCCAGGGGAATGGTTAATCCATTTGATTATTTTACTCCAGGACTTCAACAGAAAACTTTGCACACAATCTAATAGATGCATCCACATCTCTTCTTGTCTGCCAAAAAAATGGAGTCAACTTATCATACCAATAATTACTAAGTGCTCCCATGTATCCTTTCCAGCCGACACATGTCTACCTTGCACAAACACCNAAAAAAAAAAAAAAAAGGCTAAGACGAAAGATAACAAGTTCATGAGCTCAGAAACTTTAGAAAATAAAAATTTCAATAAGAGTTGGAGCAAAGATGAAGATGTTACATTGACGAAGGCTTGGCTTTATATTTCAGTTGATGCAAATGTTGGCAATAACCAAAAAGTTGTTGTATTGAAAACGTGTTTTTCCTGTTTGGAGAGAAAATATGGGAGCTGAGTGTAAAGATAACTGAACTCCGATTAGCTTCAAGTAACGTTGGAAAAGATAAACCAGGCTTGGTAACGTCAAACATTCCAACCAGCTAGAAATCGGTTCGCCTCCTTCCTCCTCGCTGGTAGAACGCCGCGTACCTGAAAAGAACTCTCCCACCGGAGAAGTTTTCCGGTGAAGAGCCTCCGATTCTTAAGTCAGTGTATGTTCTACTCAATTATCAAGAGTAAAGTGGATAAATCATGCTCACAATGTAAAGCTCACCCTTATATATAGGGGTGAGATACCTGCTTCTAGAGGCTGCCAACATTTGCTGAGTTGGCTACCCGGGTCCTGCCCGTCCGTACACACACAGTGTGCGTGTGTCAAAGGCGGTTATCGTCATATACCAATCATGTCGCGCCACGTGTCCTCTGCACATGGGGTAAAGATTCCTCTGAAGTCTCCTCGAAGGCTCTTGTGCTCAACCGTGTCTAGGTCGACCCTCGGACTGCTCTCATTCTGTGAAGTCGTCGATCAAATGACCTCTTGCTCGATAGGTCGATCCTTCGACCAGATCCTCCATGGGACCGACTCGCTCTCCTCGTCCTGATTTTCCCTGTGTACTGCTCTCGTGGTGTTCAACCACGACCCCTGCTCGATTCTGATCGATCAATGCGGCATGCTTGGTTTGCTTAAATCGTCCGACTGGAACAATGGACCGGTTTACTCCTTTAGGTATAATATCCCATATCAAGGCTGTTATCAAATTCAATCCATTCTACGACAAGTTGTATAGACCTCCAAAAAGTTGCACTAACTTGAATGATATAGTCAATTTCTATACTTCATGTCATTCGGTTAAAGTATATATTTTCATTTTTTTAGTTTTATTTGTCAGTTTATCGAGGTGTTCATGTTTGGTGGATTTCTGTATTAGACAGTTGTAAGGGGTGTCGACCGTGAACGGGAACGCCTATCTGGGTGCATGCTCGATAGAAATTTAAGGGCCACAAAACAGGACGAACATTAGGAACGAACGAACGGACAAGAGTAGAATGTTCGAATGGCGCTAATCATCATAGTGGATTATCCGTACCACGTGCATAATGGCAACAGGATTCAGGGATCACTGATCCAATGGTGCAACGCCAATCGGGACACGTGTCGCAGGCTGGGCTCTACCCTTACATTGAGATTAGATTATGTAGTACTAAGCATTAAATGTGGTGTGACGCAATATATATAGAATATCTCATAAAAGAAAACAAAAAATGAAAATCCCAAAGAAGATTGTAATAAGACCTCTATTTCTTATAAAAGGAGAGGGAGGCAACATTAAATGCAATGAGAATATTCCTCTCATAAATGATATTGAGTAAATCATGAATAAAACCCTCATCCGTTCTAAATTCTCCTTATAATCCTATAATTCTATTTGTGCAAATCGAATAGAGTGCATATTATAGTGCACAGTTTGAATTATCGTTGATTACATTTTCATACATTAACAATTAGCGCTAGAAGAAGGATGTAAAAAACAATCGTATCATCGTCAACCAACCGAGAGCAAAAGAGACGTCGAAAGAAGAAGAAATTCGGCGAAACCACCAACCCTCAACAACTGACTTCATTGTTTCAAACCTTATGAATTAGATCCAACCGACAACGTCCCAAGCACCAAAGACCCCAGCCAAGAGAGATCTAACCACGGCTGTGGAAAAGGACAAAGGACCGATGGCTCAGAAGGAAGCTTCGCAATCTCGTGAAAATCCCACCAAAAATCGAGGGGAGAAGACCACTGCGCGAACGAAGTAATTAGAAGAAACCGACGAGAGCCATTCGGTCACAAAATCAAGGACCTGCCACACTACCAGATCGGTATCAACCGGTTGGAAAAAAGTGGGGCAAAAGACGACCTCAGAAGTAAGCTACTCAAGAACGAGCAAACGCTAACGAGGAAGAAGAGATGAGAAAGCTGTGAAATAGACTAGCCGATTTGGAAGCCCGGCAAAAATGTCCAAAACGAAAAGTTTCTGCCTCACGAAACCGAACTGAAAGTCTACCGACCAACTCGAAGTCACCCCTATCGTACGATATTCTGCAGGAACGTTACCTGAAAAGATCAAGGTAGCACAAATTAGATTATACGATGGAAAATCAGACCTGAACACCCATATCGGATTGTTTACCTCATGGATGGATTTACACGACACCCAAGACGCTCTTCGGTGCCGAATGTTTTCCTTAACTTTGGGAATGAAAGCCCAGCGATGGTACCATTCGTTGCTGCCACATTCGGTCCACAGCTTGCCACAATTGAAGTATTTTTTCCGAGCCCATTTCATAGGCTCACAAGCGTGCATGGTGCCAAAGGAGTCGATTACAAGCATCGTCCAAGGCGTCGACGAAAGCCTAAAGGATTAAATCACCAATTTCAACGAACGAGTGCAGAACATGAAACCATGCCACCAAGAAACTCTGCTCGTTTTAGCATACTCAGGATTGAGACCGAACTCGATGTTTAGGTGGGCACTATGTCAGAACAAGCCCCGAACGTATCACGAGTTCTTTATGACGGCACATCAGCACGTGATTGCAGATGAGTCAATTTTTGTACCGTCATTCTGAGCCGTGAGCAAACCAACAGTGAAAACCAAGGAACCGAAGCCGAATAAAGAACCCGCAAAAGAAGGCAAGGCAACACAAATATGTGCTTTACAGAAACGGTACCAAGAAGAGTTGACCGCGAGCAACTAAAGAATCTATTTGGCCGGAGCAGCGGTGGTGTACGAGGAGTTTAAGAACAAGGGGATCATATCAGATCCGAAACCCATCAAAGCCAATGAAGATCACTTGGATAAATCTCGGTACTGTGCGTATCATAAATCGCACGGACACAACACTGACCAATGTTGCAACTTGATATCTGCTTTATTAAAGCTGATCGATGATCCACAAGTCAGAAAGTTCACCAAGCCCGCAAGAAGAAATCGAAGGACAAGAAACGAGGTCCGAATGGACCTCTAAGACGAACATGAGTTCGAACCGAATCCAAGGATGGGAAGGGATCCGCCAAGGGAAATTCTCACACTCAGCAATGTTCAACAGGACGAGGCAACTTCGTCAAGGAATAATCGATGAAAGAGGCCGTTTTCCATCTGCGACGGTGAAAATTCTATTTGGGGTTCGAATAAAGGTGACTCGACAGCCTGAAAGGTGAATACAAGCAAAGGAGATGTAGGAGAGTCCTGGAGGAAAATTAAGGCGTATGCAATACGGGCTTACAGCTCAGGCCATCTAATCAACCGCGTCGAAGCAATGGAACGAGCGCCCATGGTGACGAACGCAATCATATTTTCAGACGAAGATTCGCACACATTCGACAACCCTCATTTGGACGCGCTCGTAATAACAGCCTCGATTTTGTACATTCTAGTCCACAGAATCTTAGTGGACGCATGTGCTTATTCGAGAGTCCTGCATTGGAGCGCATTCTTGAGGATGGGCATCGATCGGAGTGACTTGCGTCCGTGTAACAATCGGATACAAGGCTTCAACGGAAAGACGACCGTTTTGGATGGAGAAATCACTTTTCCCATTGAACTCGGAGGAGTCGGCCCAACAGAAAAAACCATTTTGGAGACATTAAAAGTTGTGAAAATGAACAGCGAATACAACGCCATTTTGGGACGAACGGCGTACAAATTAAAGGCAGCCGTATCCATCTTTCAGTGCTCACTCAAGTTTCCAACCTCAGATGGAATGGGAGTCCATTACGGCAACCAGAGAGAAGCCAGGGAATGCATCATGGCCATACCTTCACACAATATCCACACGGTCATGGTGACAAGTGAAAGCAAGAAGGTTAAAGAGAAGTCGAAAGTCGAATCGCACGAACCGAACGAGCATGCCGAGCTGCTACCATTCGTACACCCAGCAGCAACAAACTGTCTTGTTCTAAACGATCAGGGAATAGCAAGAGAGAGTGTACCGGATGAACATCAGAATTAAAAAAGGATCGAAAAAGGAAGCGAAAAGAATCTGACGAACAGCCAGTCGAGGAAGAGCACCTGCTACCCGTACATCCTGCAGCAGCAAACAACTTTCTTTTGAAAGAAGGAGATAAGATGAGTGTGTGTGAACCAGATGAGACAGAGAATCTGGATGAAGAAGAAAGAACAGCTGACCGAGGCAGACGACCCGGTAAGGAACCTATGGAAGAGAAAGACAAACTAGACCCGAGGGACCAATTTAGGGGCAAGAAAGGATACCGCGCCTAACCTCGCGAGGATATATAAATCATATTCCTGGACGAGTCAATCTGCACCAAGCAGCTATGAGTAGGGAGAAATTTTAAAGAACCTGTCCGGTATGAGCTAATAAAATTCTTAATTGAAAATGTAGATGTGTTCGCCTAGACATACGAGGATATGACTGGAATCGATCCAAGCTTGGCGTGCCACAACCTTCGCATTAACAAGGCCATCCGTCTGGTGGTCCAAAAGAGGAGAAAGCTAGGTCCGGATAGGTAAAGCGCACTCGAAGACGAGGTGATCAAGCTCGTGGACAACCAGTTCGTTTGGGAATCGAGGTATCCGACATGTGTCTCAAACCCGGTCCCAGTAAAAAAGAACAATTGATCGTGGAGCGACTTGAATCGAGCCTGCCCCAAGGACAACTATCTGTTACCCAATATCGACCATATGGTGGATGCAACGGTCGGACACGAGCTGATGAGTTTCATGGACGCATAATCAAGTTGCCACTAGATACCGATGGACCCGAACGACAAAGAGCACACATCTATCTACTCGGCCTGAGGACTCTACTGCTACACCATTATTTCATTCAGACTGAAGACAGGGGCCACTTACCAAAGGCTTGTGATCAAAATATTTTATAAATTAACTGATAACATCATGGAAGTTTATGTAGACAATATGCTTGTAGAGTCGGTATGTGTGCATGATCATGTAAACCATCTTAATGAAATGTTTTCTATTTTGTGCAATTACTCCATGGTGTTAAACCCCAAAAAATGTACGTTCGGAGTAGGTTCGGGAAAATTCTTAGGGTACATAGTAAGCCAAAGAGGTATCGAAGCGAACCCTGCAATCTTATAATTGAAACTGCCTAGATCCATTAAGGAAACGCAAAGTCTAACCGATAGGTTAGCGGCCTTGAATTGTTTCATCTCTAAATCCACTGACAAATGCAAGCCATTCTTTGAAGCAATAAAGAGGAATAAAACTTTTGAATGGACGAACGAGTGCCAGAAGGCTCTCGATGGCATGAAGAATTCCCTTGTTCGGTCGTCGGTCCTACAGAAACCGACTCCCGGAGAGATGTTGTTCCTATATCTAGGTGTCACACAATCCGCTATAAGCGCCGTGCTCGTTCGGGAAGAGGACGCAAGTCAACATTCGGTCTATTACATAAGTAAGGCCCTTCATGAAGCTGAAGTCCGTTATCCATCCATCGAGAAGCTAATCTTCTCATTTGTGATCGCTTCACAAAAGCTTAGACTGTATTTCCTCGAACATCAAATCACAGTGTTGTCCGCATATCCTATCATGCAAATTCTTCATAGAGCGGATACGTCTGGAAGAATGATAAAAATGGATGTCGAGATCGGGCACTACGACATACAACCATCAAAGGCCAAGCGTTATCACACTTTATAGTTGAGTTCACGCAAGGGGCTGAACTGGTGCAGGACACAGAGACTTGGGAGATGTATATTGACGGATACTCAACTTTGGATGGATCTAGAGGGGGGTCGTCTTGGTTAGCCCCCAAAAGAAGTTGTATTATCATTCAATTCGATATTTGTTCTCCGCGACCAATAACAAGGCCCACTACGAAGCAGTCCTATCCGGACTCGACTTGGCCGAATCAATGAGTCTTTCAAAATCTGAGAGTTTATTCTGACTCTATGTTGCTAGTAAAGCAGATCTCCGGAGAATTTAAAATGAAGGAGCCCCGGTTGGTCCCTTATCTGAACTTTGCCCGCAAAAAGATGCAAAGAGCGAGTATTCAGTTAGAACACATCCCATGAACTGAGAATGTCTAGGCGGACGCCGTGGCATGTCTGGCTTCGAGTAGAGGGACAAATGGAATTGAGTATGTCTACACACAACACCAAGAGAGGCGGGCCGTGTAGGTTGAGCAGATAATGTCGGTTGGAAGCATAACTGGTTGCAAACTCCACAGCTGGATGGGCCCGATTCGGTCTTATTTAGAGACAGGAACTCTCCCGTCCGACCCTATGGAATCCAGGTCGCTCCGAACCCGCTCGGCGAGATATACCATTATGGTCGGTACGATATACAAGAGAGGTTATTCAGCCCCGTTGCTTAAATGTAGTGACAAGGACGAGGCTGAGCGGGTAATGAAAGAGATCCATGAAGGAGTGTGCGGAAACCACTCGGGAGGACGAGCTTTGGCACACAAAATCCTCAGGCAAGGATATTATTGGCCCACCCTGAAAAAAACTCGTTCAACTTGGCAAGGAGATGTGAAAAATGCCAGACGTTCGCCTCAAACTTGAAGCAACCGGCCCAGCCGCTCGATTTTCAGTCTCTGGCCGTTTGCGAAATGGGGGATTTATCTGATCGGTCCGCTGCCAACGGGAAAAGGAGGAGTCAAATATGCAGTGGTAGCAGTCGACTATTTTACCAAGTGGGCGGAGACGGAGCCTTTGGTAACTATCACCGAAGATAAGATGATAGATTTATTGTGGAAATACATTGTTTGTCGATTTGAGGTACCTCACTCTGTGGTTACCGATAACGGACGACAAGTTGAAGGTAAGAGGTTCGATGCGTTCTGCGAGGAATTAGGAATTCGACATCATTTTTCCACCCCATATCACCCTCAGTCGAACGGGCAGGTGGAGGCGGTGAACAAGATCATCAAGCAAGGGCTGAAGGTACGACTAAAGACCTCAAAAGAGGCCTGGCCCGAAGAGTTACCAAAAGTACTGTGGTCGTACTGAACCACGGCGAGATCGACCACCGAGGAGACGCCGTTCTCATTAGCGTGCGGGTTAGAAACAATGGTCCCAGTTGAAATTGGCTCAAAGACCTACCGGGTGGAAAACTTTGAAGAGGAGGCGAATTCGGATGGGATGAGGACGAACCTGGATTTAGTCGAAGAGTTGCGGTCCCATGGCAAACTGAAAAATGTAGCAGATAAGCAAGTGACGGAGAGATACTTTAACACACGGGTAAAATCACGGCTCTATAAACTAGGAGATCTCGTGCTAAAAAGGGTGACCAAGCCTGATCCCGGTCCCTTGTAACCTAAATGGAAAGGGCAGTATCTAGTAGATACTGTTCTCGAGAATGGGCCTACCAATTGAAGTACCTAGATGGGACTCCTATGATGTATTCGTGGAACGCCGTGTTTTTGAAAAAAAATACTATCAATGAGAACGTGTTAAAAGGTCCACACTTTAAGACTGAAAAATGGTAAGACCCTATAAGGGTAACGGTCTGAACAACAAAAGTTGTTCAGCCAAAAAACGATGAGACCCTATAAGGTTAACGGTCCAAACAACAAAAGTTGTTCGGCCAAAAAATGATAAAACCCTATAAGGGTAACAGTCCGAATAACTTCTAAAAAAAGGTGAGACCTTATAAGGGTAACGATCCGAACAAATAAAGTTGTTCGGCCAAAAAACGATAAGAACCTATAAGGGTAACGGTTCGAACAACAAAAGTTGTTCGGCCAAAAAACAATGAGACCCTATAAGGGTAATGGTCTGAACAACAAAAGTTGTTCGGCCAAAAAACGATAAAACTCTATAAAGGTAACGGTTCGAACAACAAAAGTTGTTCGGCTAAAAAAGAATAAGACCCTATAAGGATAACGGTCCGAACAACAAAAGTTATTCGGCCAAAAATGATGAGACTCTACAAGGGTAACGATGCGAACAACAAAAGTCATTTGCCAAAAAATGATAGGACCCTAAGGTTAACGGTCCGAACCACAAAAGTTGTTTGGTCAAAAAATGATAAGACCCTATAAGGGTAACGGTCCGAACACCAAAAGTTGTTCGGCCAAAAATTGATGAGATCCTACAAGGATAAGGGTCCGAACAATAAAAGTTATTCGGATAAACAATTACTATCATAAAGCCCTATAAGGGAAACATATTGAACAACAAAAATTGCTCCAACAGCGGAAAAGCGCGTTGCACATTTCATCTAGCCATTCGTCAGAAACGTCCACATAAGGCCTAACCCAAAATGTAAAAGAGACATTCATTCATTCATCAAACCGATAAAATAGAAATACGATTGCATATATCAACCAAGGGCATAAGCCAACCCCAAAACCATCATGTTTAAACAAGATCAAAAGCAAATATCGAGTTCCATCTCGAATAAAGCAACACAAATGACAAAAACCAACATTACGAATAAGCAGTTCAGTTATTTCATCATAAATAAAAAGCGAACAGCAAACGGTCAGGTTTCGGCTACCTAGTCAACGTGTGGCCTTTTTTCTCAACCGACCCTTCAACCCTCTTATTCACGATCGGGTCCGGGTTCCCTGCATTTGTAATTGTAACCGACTTAGAGGGACCACCGCCTGTCTTCAAACTGTCGTACGTTTGTTCATCTTCGTCTGCTAGCAGGTCATGACTTTCACGTCATCTGAGAGGCCGAGCCATTCGCATTTGATGTTCTAGATGGCCTTGATATCATCCAAGTTCTGGCCGTTATTCTCCAGAACCTGGACCACCCGATTCAAACTGAGGGCCGCATTCAAATCGATGTCTGCCGCATACTCGTCGGTCTTATTGTACTCATCCAATCTGGCTTTGAGACGCTTCTCAAAAACCTCATCGTACGAGCCTTGGTACTTAACCGCTTCGGATAATTTCTTCCGTTGAGTCACAACGGCATCTCTTTCCAACTCCGCCGCCGTTATTCTCTGTTCGGCCACAGATAGGTTTTGGATCGGCTACACTCAGTCTTTTGATGACGTCCTCAATTTGCCCCAACAACTTCACTTCCTCAAGCCTGATCACCTTCATCTCACCCTCAAGCTCGGCAATACGTGTTTTCAACACGTCAGCTCTCTTGACCTCATTCTACAACGAATAGATCCTCTCCTTGCAAATGGCTTGTTCAGCGTGCAACCTAGCCAGATCTTGTCCATCTTCTTGAACTCGGCCATCGCAGCCGCTTGCATACAGACGGTTCGGCCCAAGCTGCCTACCGCATACTCTATTTTTTTTATCGGAGTGATGCCCTGTGCTACTTGCTCGGCAGCAGGATCCCAACTCATCAATGGCATCATGGACGAGTTTATAACGTGCGGTGGCCAGTTGCCTATGTTCGGTGCATGCTGGTTGCCCACAAATTTGAAGCGGACGCCAATCATCCGCAACACCCTTGAGGCGCTCAAACCGCGCCGTTCTCGATGGTTCGATTCGGAGATAGGTGTCAGAACCGTCCTGGTGAACGTATGCATTCTTCTCATCGAAGTAGCTATCCGTCTCCTCATCCCCGTCAAGCCTAGTAACTGAATCTACTCCCGGCACGACCGCTTGGGCAACCCGCTTCAGGGATCGAGTCTCGCCAGACTTTTCAGTTAGCTTTCGGCTTTCCGAATGAGCAGTCCGGAGAGGCTGCTCATCCTCTCTGGTAGATGACTCAATCACTTTTATCTCTTGTTCGGAGGACGGATTCTTTGGCGCATGTTTTTTAGTAGCTTCCATTTGGGCTAGAAAGGCTAGGCGGTCCATCTCGCTGGTAAAAGACTTATGTTTTTTCTTGGAAAAAATTGAGTCGATTATCTTGCGCTTGTTAGACTTGGGTGCGTTTCTCTAAATTGCCACATCTGAGCTCGCGCCCTTTAGATCTAGTAACGGATAAAAGGCTAAAGTCAACCGTGGATAAAAGATAAATGAAATAGGCACGAAAACAACAAAAGCTAAAAGAGGCAAAGTCAAATACACTTACTCGGAATGCAGGATGGCTCAACGTCGCCCGAACACAAACCAGCGATGAATAGATATGAATCCCCAACTAAGGACGGACCTTCTCTTTCAGATTCGTACTTCTTTAGCAATTCAAACAACTGGCAGAAAACGAATCCCTTAGCTGAAGGACAAAGGTGCTATTCGCTGAAACAACGAATCTGACCTGTTAGTACAAACAGAAATAACCAGAATTAGGACAAACGAATGAAATAGTGTGAAAAAACAAACTCATAAATTTTCGAGTCAAATTTAGTCAGAATGGTCAAACATTCAGACACCCCGGTATCCCCAATAGATCTTGGCATCTGCCAATCCCGTCCGACCCAGAACCAAAAATGTTTGTGTATGCTGAGAGTATCGGGGACTTTAGTGATCAAGTCTTTGAACCTTGCATCTCGCACTGTAATCGAAAACTGTCCGAACTTTTTTCGGGATTCTATGAAAAGAAAAAATGTCCGGATATCGTCGCAATTCGGCATCTCCTATCCTTGCTGGCTAAATAGTACGAGCAAACTTATTATTTTCAGCCACCAATCAGTGACACCTGGCTGAAACTGATCCCCCAAACACGAAGATACTCCGACAAAATGCGAGGGAGGGGAAATCGGAGACTGAATACGACAGATCTCTAAAAACGCCGATGTACCTTGGGGGTGGGAAGTGAATCCGTTCTCATTTATATGGAGTGAACATTCGGATTTCCCTAGGTAACCGAATAGAAGTCTGCATTTTCACCACTTTATCGTCGGTCATATCGTTCGAAAGCTTCCCTAGTCTAAAAAGACTTGAAGTGGGCCATTCGCGATACGGTCTGCAACATTAATCAGTCGGTACAGTCACTAGCACCTATTCAACATTTAACTCCTGAGTCGGACCCTCTTTATGTAAGGGTAACAGTTCACGACCCTTCCTATCACCTTGAAGGGCCTCCTCGTATTGCTCCTCGTTGTAACTTTCCGACGAAAGCGACCTAGTTTGGGTAGAAAAAAATAAGAAATGATTTATAAGAAAAGAAGGGAGGAAGCAGGCTTACCGAACTAGTAAATATGGGTAGGGTCGGATGAAAGCTCTGTTCGAACTTGGAAGCGCAGAGAATAATTGAGAAAGTTGTGTGCAAAAGTTATAAAAGTTTTTCAAAAATGGCGACTCTGGTATTTGTAGGCTTCAAATTGCGCATTCAAAAGGCACAATGATTTGAATTTTGAAATGCCTCCCGGATATGTAGTGTTTCATATACTCCATAAATGCCGCGGAACCTATTAGATTGAGACACGTCGCCTGGGAAGTTATTGTCTGCCGATGAATTTAATGGTGCACGACTTTTCATGAAACGGTACCCATGAAAAGTCAAATTGATTTCTCTACCACACCGCACGAAGCGAATATTCGTCGAACACGCAGTAGTTCGTCTCGGTCCCGCTTACGAAGTTAGTTTCAAACCAGCTCGTCCGAGAACGATTCTGTCCATGTTGTTCGAATATGGGGGCCTCTGTACAAGGTGTCGACCGAACTGCGGGAATTCTAATCGAACAGGAACGCTTATCCGGGTGCATGCTTGATAGGAAATTAGGAGCCACGGAATAGGCCGAACATTAGGAACGAACGAACAGACAAGAGTAGAATGTTCGAGTGGCGCTAATCATCATAGTGGATTATAAGTACCATGTGCATTAATGGCAACAGGATTCAGGGATCACTGATCCAATGGTGCAACGCCAATTGGGACACATGTCGTAGGCTGGGCTCTCCCCTTACATTGAGATTAGATTATGTAGTACTAAGCATTAAATGTGGTGTGACGCAATATCTATAAATATCTCATAAAAGGAAACAAAAAATGAAAATCTCAAAGACGATTGTAATAAGACCTTATATTTCCTATAAATGGAGAGGGAAGCAACATTAAATGCAATGAGAATATTCCTCTCATAAATGATATTGAGTAAGTCACGAATATAACCTTCATTCGTTCTAAGTTCTCCTCACAATTCGATAATTCTATTCGTGTAGATCGAATAGAGTGCATATTTTAGTGCACAGTTCGAATTATCGTTGATTACATTTTCATACATCAACAACAGTGATTGTTTCGTGGGACAGCGCATAAGTTAGTTTTGAGAATTATTCAAAAATATTTACTGAGTAAAAAGTTATATTATGTTTAGTGGGACAGCGCATGAGTTAGTTTCGATTTTCTGACAGCATCTAGGGATATTTCACCTTCTAAATGACTTTGTCTGCTTTTGTGATCCAAATAAAAGTTATATCTGCATGTCTTAGGATCATTTTGGGATTTGAATCATGTCAATATGAGTTATATGATGAAAGTTGTGCATGTTTTGAAAACACTGCGCATGACAGATTTGGGCGGGTTTATGGTATAATTTTAAAAACAGACTTTACCTATTATATGCATGATTGTGTGATCAATACCTAATTTTTTGGTGTTATTTGGAACCCTAGATGATGTAGATTAGTATCTTTAAGCAAGCTAAGAGTTCAATAATTTCCAAGACATAAGACGAAATTGTTTTCAAGAGAGGTTTAAGCGATGCAAGGAAAATCAATTGATTTTCTCTAAGACTAAGATATGTTAAATTTCTTAATAAGTCATTTAGAATACGCCTCCAATAATGTAGATAGTCGAGGAGTCGAGCCTTCAAGTTTTCTAGAGCATACTTCATAAATCGAGACAACTGCACTACGAGGTAGAGGATTTCTATGCTATGTTCTACATTCCTTATAATTGCTTATATTATGGTTGAGATATGTAGTTTATTTAATTATGTATTAGATTTTCAACATTTAGGTAACACCTTTGTTGGGATGGAAAATGGTGAAGGCTTCTGGCATTGGGGTAACATCATTTGTTAGATGGAAAATGGTAAAGGCTTCTGGCATTTGGGTCATTTGTTAGATGGAAAATGGTAAAGCTTCTGGCATTTGGGTAACACCATTTGTTAGATGGAAATGGTAAAGGCTTCTGGCATTTGGGTAATACCATTTGTTAGATGGAAAATGGTAAAGGCTTCTAGTTTGTGGGTAGCAGCATATGCTAGATGGACACGAGGCTTAATTATTCATGTTATATGTTGATGCAACATGATTTATTATTATATTGAATGTTTTACGTAGAAAGTATTCCTCAATGCTCATCCCTTATTGTTTTTCACATCCAGGTTGATCGAGTTGGCAACGGAGCAATGGCGAGGGTGGTCAAATAAATAAAAAGGAACTCGCTTCCATGTTTATATGCTCTAAGGTATTTCTAAACTTTAAAGACTATGGTTATGAGATTATTTACTTAAATTTATTCTCAAGACATGGTTTGAGTTTATTTAGATTACGATGAAGTTTTATCTATGCAAGTTTGATGATGAATATGTGATGGACTATGCGATGCTATGATAAGTTTACGAGGCAATGCAAGTTTCAAAGTGGTAGAGCCATTGGGTTTTCAAATGTGTTTATGAAAAAAAAAATAGAAAAAAAAATTCTAGGATTTTAAGGTATTAAAAACGGGGCGTTACACACAAACTCCAAGGCGGAGAACTGAGAGGCTCCTAATCCCCAGCCCAAAAACACAAGAGTTGAGAAACTTCCCCTATGGCTAACTCGACCCAGGCAGACGAATCTGAAGCCTCCCCCGAAATCCCACCACCGAAAACTCTGAGAGACCCGAACCAGATGTCCTCCCCTTCAATCCAATCAGTTTTCGTGGCCCGAGGACTATAGTCATCGATAGACTAGAAGACAGAGAGCACGAAGCCCCGACTTTGGCCGATAGCCGCACACAGCTGCAAACCCAAGCACCACCACCGCCAAGAACCAGCGACCAACAACCACCGCCGCTATGGCATCTGCGCAAGAGATGAGACCACTCGACAACCCTGACCGCTAGCTCGCTGGAGGAACAACCCAAAATTGGAGTCATCAAGGAGACAAGAGCCGAAGACAATTGCCCGAGTCAGACCCTTGCCCCAGTGCAAATGTAACCACTCCCTTCACCAAGAGCTGGTGATGGCTAGCTAAACCCACGCACAGAGCAAATGTTAGCTAATTATTGCGCCCCAAACCCCACCGTCTTCACCCCACCACAAAACCGACAGAAGTCCCAGAGGCACGAACCCAAAGAGCGCATCCGCCGGCGGCCTCTCCCCGTCTCAGCCCCAAGAGACGGAGGAGAAGAGGAAGCAAAGGCCGGCGAACCCGAGCACGCCACCGCGCTCCTCACCCCCTCAAAAGAAGTCACCAATGCAGCCAACAAGCTTACCCAAGAAGGGCAAGTTAAATCAATCGAAATGACGGAACGGCGCAGGGGGTGAGGGGAGCACAGGAAGGGTCGTCTCCACGAAGGCGCCGGAGCTGCAGTTGAGAGGAGACTACACATAATCGATCGAGAGAGGCGAGCTGCTATAGTAGATAAAGGATTTTGAATTTTTTGGGGGCGGCGTTTTTTTTCCTATCTCTCTGCCAGGACACTATGGCATGTAGGATTTATGCCTATGTTCCATTAGAAATTTGTGAAGAATAACGTCATGGCAGCGTCATAGGACGCTAGAATGAAACTTCAGCCTGCCGCAATTGATAACAATGCTGTAAACTTCTTTGTGATGTACTTTCATTGTACCATCCAATTTTCTAAGTTCACTCTTAATTTATGACCAATCACGAAACAACCCTTCATTCTAATCTTTTTTGGACTTTAGACCTAAAAAAATTTATAAGCTAGCCTAATCTAAATTCAGCTTTTCAACATTCGTGGGTAGTACAAAGATGCTTTCAGAGTCGATCACCAGTAGAGAATTGAATAGAGATAAAAAAAAAATCTCTTATCAAGAATAAAGATTTGTGTGTATTCAGCTTTTCAACATTTGTATTTCAACATTTGTTGCATTTTCCTTTGGACGACAATTCAAATTTAATTATATCAAAGAAGAAATGTACTGGAAAACCTCTTATCCGCAAAGGAAAGTGCGAATGATTTAAGCCTTGAGGAGAGAAATAAACCATAGAAATTAATAGAGCAGATTCGTTCAGAACGAATGCTTGTATTGGTCATACACGTTCAAAAGCAAAACATTCCAACAAAAGGAACATTCAATGACAAAGGGGCTGGGTCCAGGCCAGCCCTCGAGACGTCCCGCTATATTTTACTTTTTTTTTTTTTTAATTTTTTGACCGGGTCAAGCCGGTCCGTGGCCTGCTATTGGATCGTTGGCAGCCTGTTAACCTGAGCCGTTGAAAGTTTTTTACCATTGAGATCAAACTGTCAGATTTTTTTTTTTTTAAATTCGGTTCCACTGTCTGGGTTTGGGTTCAGTTTTGACCCGGCCCACCGATTCCACAACGGTTGGCCAACGATCAAATTTTCAAATCTGACTGTTGGATCATCTTGACCGTTGAGATGCAATTGTCAAGATTTAGTTGTGAAATATAACGTTGGGATACAATTGTCAAGATTTAGTTGTGAAATATAATTAGGGATAAAAATTTTTTCCCATCTGAACTATCACGGTTTTGGCGCATCACCATATAAATTATTCTTTTTTTCACAAACCACCTTATGAACTATACGGGTTTGTCAAAGTACCCCCTAAACCGGATATAAAAATGGTTTTTGATTGAAAAAAGCTGATTTTTTAGGGTATTTTAGTGATTTTAATATATTTTTCAAAAAATAAAAGAAAAATGAAAAAAATAAAGAATCTGGTATTAAAAATATAAAAAAATGGACCAACAATAGAAAAAATAAGAAAAAATAGAAAAAAAATGAAAAATGAAGCTGGTTCCATCTCCTCCAACACTTAGTACCCGTGCGCCGAGGAATGCATGCAACAACCAATATCAAATCATAGATCGACCATTAAAGTTTTTTCTTCTTTTAAATCAATCAATATGTTTAAGCATTAAGTCTCAAACAATTGGTACAAAAGGCATCACTGCTAGCAAGATGTACACATAGCCCCAAGAACATCAGAAAAATCACGTGAAAAAAAAAGCTCAAATGAGCTTGAAAGGGAGCGGCCATGGAGTTGACCTTGTACCTCGACCTTATCCTTTATCCTCTCGATTTTTGTTCATTTTTCGACCTGCAATTCCCGTACGAACCTTTGATCTCTTCCCTTTCTTGGCCTTCTTTTATCTCCTCGACCGCACAGGGAAGGCACCTACGGCGCCGTCGCCATCAACAACGAGAGAGATGATAAAGCCACCCTTTGCTCAGTGGCGGACGCGATCCTCCGAGCCACGGCGCTACACAGCTGCATCATCGCAGTTTCTCGAAGCTGATTGGCGGGTCGATTGATTGAATTCCGATTTCATAATCACAAGGAGATCTAAAACCCTAGTAGTGAGGAGCTGTGTTGAAAATTGAAATTTCATGCGAAGGCTTATGAAAGAAGTTCAAACATTATTAAATTTAACCTCGCTATCTTTCAAAAAAAAAAATTCCGTTCATTTTTTCTTTTTTTTTTTTAAAAAAAAATTATGAAATTACTAAAATGCCCTCAAAAAATAGCCTTTTTCAGTCAAAACCATTTTTAAATCCGGTTTAGGAGGCACTTTGACAAATCCGTATATTTCATATGGTGGTTTGTAAAAAAAAAATAGTTTATATGGTGATGCGCCAAAACCGTGATAGTTCAGATGGAAAAAAGTTTTTTACCCATATAATTAATATCTTATTAATTTATAGATGATTATGATAGTTGTGAACGGACCTCACTATGATTATTGATCCAACAAAATGAACCTCAATTTTTAGTGAATCAAAGTAGATATACTGTATGCACGTTCCTGTTTATATCTTACAGGTTCAGAGTACTAGTCAGGGCGATGGGATGGCCCAGCCCGCCAGTTTGACCCGAATCAATCGAATCGACCCTGAACCGGCCTGTGGTCAACAGGCCCAGAACTAAGCCCATAGTTTGACCGGGCCAATTCTGTGCCTCATGTATAAATTTTTTTAACCCGGGTCAGCCCTCGAGACGGCCTACCATATTTTTCTTTTTATCTTAATTTTTTTAATCTGAGGACCGTGTCAGACCGGACCAAGTCGGGACTGTCCGTGGCCCGATATTGGACTGTTGGCAGCCCGCTAATCTGTGCCATTGAAAGCTTTTGACCAGTAGAGATCCAACTGTCAGATTTTTTATTTATTTATTTTTTAAATTTGGTTCCATGGTCCGGGTTCTATTTCGACCCATCCCCGTTGGATCCACAACGGNCGAACCAAATTGAAAAATTCAAAATAAATCCCAAATAATCTCAAAAAAATCTTATAAATAACTCCTCCCACCAAAAGAAAAGAAGTTTTTCACACCTTTCACAATATCTTCCTCTCTTCCCTACTATTTTATAAACTCTTGAAGTGCTAATTTTTAGGTTTTGTGCTTGGTTTTTAATAATTAATATCTTAAGACAAAGTGTCAACACATTACATGTGTGTTATTATTTATGACATCTTGGATCCTATATAATTTGATAATTTTTAAAATGCAAATAAAATATAGTAAGAACAATTACGCTTCACTCAAATTTCATGTTTAGTAATACTTGATCTCCAATTGATTTTTTTCTGTTTAAAAAAAATATTTAAAATAGGGGTTTAGGGTTTAGTTATGAAATATAATTAATATCTTGTTAGTTTATATATAATTATGATACTTGTGAATGTACCTCATGGACTGTTGATCCAACAGAATGAACCTCACTTTTTAGTGAATCAAAGTAGAGGTAATGTATGGACGTTCCTTTTTATATTTTACGGGTTGAGAGTTCTAGTCATGGCCACAGGCCGACCCAGCCCGCCGGTTCAACTCGAACAAACCGAATCGGCCCGTGGTCAACAAGCCAGAACCGAGCCCATAGTTTGACCTGACCGGTTTCAGGCCTCTGGCCCAGCGGGCCGGGTCCAGGCCGACCCGCCAATAGTTTCCTATTTTTTATTTAAACTTTCTTAAACTTGTCGATATTTTTTTAGTCTTATTCTATATTATAATTAAAAGGGTATGAAAGGTTAAAAAAATATTATCTTGGGAAAAAACTATATTATATTTTATTTGAATTTTAAATTTACAATGTTAGTTGCACAAATTTAGTCTCAACTAAAATTTAGAGTCCGTTTATATCCGAATCGTTCTTTTTCGAATTTATGTTCATAATTTTTCAGTTATATTGCTCGGTCCTCCATAACTCGGATACGTTCCGATAGGTCCTCGATTCTGGCCTCAAGATTTATCCTTCAGGATGCTTGGGAGGTCAGAATATCGAGAATTTGATCAACCTTAGCATCGTACTCTAAAGATTCCACGGGGCACTCATATGATATATTGCTCGAACGGTAACGGATTCCACGGTTGCTCGTAAGGGAAGGCGCATGTCTGGCCATACTCGCACGAACTGTAGCTCGACTCATTATTCCAATAAAGGGTTTGCGAGGAGGGGAACACGGTGCTCGGGTTCATTGATACTTCTGTTCAAAGTCCCATGTACACAAGAACAAAAACAACCATGCAAAGCCACGAAAAAGAATAGAAAAAGAAGGCGAAAACAAAACAAAGAGAAAAAACAAAGATGCAGAGAAGGAATACGAACACAAAAAACACAAAATAAAGAGAAACACAGAAAATAAAATCAACACCAAAACTAAATATCCTACTTGCCTTCCCCGGCAACGGCGCCAATTTTGTTGTAGCAAAATATATTTTTACCTAGTACCTAATCGATCTCTCGAGGAAGGCGGTTTGAAATCTAGGAATGTTGTTGATAACACATAAAAGAAAATCAAAACCTAACCATTCTAATCAAGATAGTCGTTTTTAATTATCAACTACGAATTAGAATTCAAACAATGCAAAATCGAACTTAAAAGCAAAGATGAAGATCAAAGGATAAGAAGCTAGGGCATCGGAGATGATGATTTTCTAACCAATGCAAATATCAAGATAAAATCATTCGGTTGGATGATTCGAACAACCTAACTTCTTAAGATTAATCCTCAATAACTCTTCGTAAAAAGAGGGTATCAGAGATGGTAAATCACGCAAATCACACAACACATAGACAATACGTTTCCGAACAAGTCTATTTCATACGAGCCTAGATCGATCAACTCCTCTCCTTTCGGTTCTAGGAGTTGATTAATTATCCTAGACGATTGTTAATCTACTAGTACGTTGGATTTAAACACATCACATAAGAACGAATCATATCAATTGAAAATTAATTTCAAATCGAAGTGTCACTCTTCGACAATAATCAACATTCAATGTACGAGAATTATAAACCCTAGTTAAGAACAACTCGCATAAATTGAACGATCAACAAGCATGATAATCACAATTAAAATTCTAATCATCATCATCATCCCCTATCTCTAGCGAAACTAATTAGCTACTCATATGGAATTCAACATCACAATTCACATGAACTCAAGCCATCATCATCATAAGCAAATATGATTTAATGTAAAAATCCCAATGTCAAATCCAAGTGCAATCCAAATCCAAAGCAAGAGAAGGAGTTTTTTAATCTCCAAATCAAATCAAAAGTGAAGAAAACTAAGAAAGGAATGTGTTTGCTAGAGAGAAAAAACATAAAAACTAAGTCTGAAATGAAATAGAATGTCCTAGGTCCCAAAAACGGCTTAAAATCCCACATCTCGATTTTTGCGTCACCATGTAGCGAGTCGCAACTTATCCACTTCCTCGGGTCACGAGTCGCGACTTCCTCGCGAGTCGCGCGTCATCAATTTCTTCAAACTCTGGGGTTGGTCTCGACATATCTCGCGAGTCGCGACTTTCATGTTGCGAGTCGCGATTCGAGCTTGCGTGCACCTTCAGGCTCTATTTTTCTCGCGAGTCATGACTTTCATCTCACGAGTCGCGACTTGGGCCGCACTGCGCCACTTTACGTTTCGGGCTCGTTTGGGCTCGTCCGAACTCAGAATTGAGTTCCGTTTTTTGCTATCCGTCGCCAACGAACCCCTCTATTCAACTATGTTCTCGAATCCAATTTTTCCTGATGAGAAAATTCGATCAAAGCTCCCGACCTACACACCAAAAACGACAAAACACGAAGAAAATTGGAAAAACAAACGAAAAGCACCTAAGTACTCAAAATGAAGGAAAAAAATAATAAAACACGAAATGGACTAAAAACGAAAGAAACGACCTAAAATGGGGGAAAAAGAAAAGCAAAACAAGCACGAAAAATGTAACAAAAATGGGACAAACAAACTCCCCCACACTTAAACCTTTGTTCGTCCCGAACAAATAGAAAAGAAAAGAAAAGAAAAGACACAAAACTAAAACCTGAGCATGGACAACAATCATTAACAAGATAAGCTTCAAAATGTTCAGCTTCAACAACAAGCATTGAAATGGCATATACGAGCATCACACAACTACATGCTTGATCACTATACTTCGATATGGCGTTCTCTCAAGTATGGGAATATATATATATATATATATATGTATATATATGTGTGTGTGTGTGTGTATGTGTGTGTGTGTGTCATGTGTGTGTGTGTGCCTCACTCGAATTCTTATACAGATAAAGATAGATGCAATCAAATTGTTCGATAACAAGTTCAATCATATGCTTGCCCATTGTCCAGCTTCTACTCTAAACCAATCAAAATCGAAAGTAGTGCATCAAAAGGTCTTTCCGGGTTGTAATGTAGGCTCTTTGGTTAGGTGTGATAAATATAGGCTAAGTGGCTCGAATTCCTTACATAACTCAAACACCTTACCCCAAGAATCGTACACGCATTTGGTTGCTCAAACAAACCGGATCCTCCCCCACACTTCTTCTAAAAGCACACGTTTCACCCATTTTATTTCTTCTTTTTTTTTTCTGTTTTTTTTTCTTTTCTTTTCTTTTCTTTTTTCAATTTTTTTTTTCTTTTTCATTGAAAAACATAAAACAGCTCCAATTCACAACTCCAACCGTCATCCCCTCTAATTCTTAACCCGCAACTCCAGAAACGTCATCACCACAAGGTTATCAACAAAAATCAAATAAGGCTGGAGAATAATTTGTAGAGAAAGAAAAGAATAGAATACAATAAACGCCTTAATCATATACACAACTCACAATTCTAATCAATTTATTTCAATGTAGACTCAGGGCAAGTTCTAATCAAACAAGAGCACGACCAATGTATCTCAAGAAACAAATAAGGCTCAAACCTCACTAGGTAGATATATGAATGTCAATCAAAGTAATCGACGAAGCATTTCATCACGCTAAGCCGCATATGACCAACATCACAACTCCTCAAATTCATCAAACAAGTCTTAACTAATCTTAAAATTTCCAAAGTCCATACTCACAAAAACACACAAAAGCTA